TAAGATAAAAATAGAAAAGAAAATATAAGCCTGTCTATTCTTATACTGGTTCGTTGTTGAGATATTGAGAAACTGTTCTCGAGTCAAAGTAAAAGTCATTATATTGAATGTTGTATTTGGAAGTAGGTGTCACCGGGGAGACATACTTAATATAAGTTCTTTGCTCACATTTGGTTTTTTTGTGATGTACTCAAGTATTATATTGAGTCATAAATAATTTCTGTTTTTCTTTGTCAATTTGACTCTTCCAAAAATAAAATACAATTACATTGCATTCAATTATATATTCACCATTGTTTGCAATGGCTTGTCGCTTATCAAGCAGATCTTCCATTCCTTTTGAATCAAATTTCCGCAGTGTTTTATGTGAAAAAGTTTCGACGAACTCTTGAATCTGGATTTCAGTAACATTTTGTCAAAGAATTTTGCAACAATCGAAAGAGGTAATAATCGGTTGGTGTAAAGGTGGTGAATATAGCGAGTCGAATAGAACAAACTAACCGAGTTCCACATTGTTTCCTATGTTATTCGTGCTCTGTGCGCCTTTGCATTATCTTAGTGAACTACATTTTCCTTTAATCCGCTGTGTATGCTGCCGCTTTGGCATTTTAATTTATTCCAGATTTATTCATAATGGTCGACACGAAATAAATTGTTCTCTTCATACATTTGATTTTCATTCAAAGGAACACAGGTTATTGAACAGCAATCGATGTTCGCTGGAAGAGAACGAAAACTAATTTTCAAGGTGAATAATTTTATTCAAATATTGAAGACTGTCTACAAAATAATTTTCGACATTTTGGAGACAACAAACTCATGTTAACGTGAAATCTGGAATTATCCATAAAATGACGCTCTTCGCTTCTGGCATCTGCATAAGTTTTGGACTTTTGATTTTAGATATATTTTTGTAGTATAATATATAATATATATTCAAGGTAAGCAAAAATCTCTTTCATTTTATTTATTTATTAGAACATATTTGACATGTCACTAGATCTCAAAGTAATCTCCATCGGCACCCAGGATCTTTTGCCCACGTGCCTCCAGTTGCGAAGAATTTTACACGAAAGTAGTTATCCAAGGAATGGCGTATGTTTCGGGGAGTTGGTGGATGACACAGTGAATCCCATCCAACTTGCTCTATGGTATCCTTGGCCGCCCGAGCCACATGAGCCTTGTGATTAACCAATGCTAGTTAATTCGGCTTCAGTGCCTGTTGCACACATTTCAGCTACCATAAGTACAGGTACGCAGTGATATTTTAACCCTTTGATAGCTGCTCATAGGGCACCACTTGTCGACTAGTCCACCAAATACTGAGCTTGATATTGGATGGGTGTAGAGGTGGTCTTGTGGTGTCTGGCATAATGTCCCGTAGTGAAAACCAATGACTTGCACGTCTGGGAGCGTCACATGGGGACACACTTTTCGTCATTAGCGAGAAATCGATCAAATATAGGTGGCCAAGACTGCAACGAAATCCAGGTTCGTTGTTTCTTGTTGGCAAACAACAATGTGTGGGTACCCACTTGCACTATTTGTATGCCTCCCCTATGCAGTGCAGATTAATAATAATGTTTCCTCAGAAAGTTCATCACAGGTTTGGCTGTTGTCTTCCGCTGTGGCCGCCTTCATGGCCTCATCATTCAGGATCTGTAGCCGAACACTATGAGTTTCACCACATAGGGACAGATGTCCAGATGGGAACTTTTGGAACCAATGCCTGGTTGTACGTCAACTTACAGCATTATCCCCCAAGTCTTGACGTATTCGGCGACTTGCTGCGCCTGCAGACAACCCCAAGCGAGACGTTTCGACACCGCAATGTTTCCTTGCCGCTGCTCGAGCTATAACTGATGCGTGTGCGCAACGCACCTGCATTGGTAATCAATTGCTATCACTCCACCCTACTGCTTTCTCGGTACGTGACGCACCCATTTACGTATCAGCGATCACTTATTCGACACGACGTAAAAACGGTAAGGAAATTTTTGGTTACCTTATATTATAATATAATATTCTCTCAAAATATAGACTACATATACATAAAATAGTAATATATAATATAATTTTATTTATTTATATAAAACAGATACAAAACAGTATTTTCTAGTATATATATATATATATATATATATATATATATATATATATATATATATATATATATAAAGTATAAAAATTGAAGGCAACACTTTGAGGCGACAGTCTGTTTTATGCTAGACGCAATGGTCAGGCCTGACGATTGCATATAGCATGAAACAGACTGTTGCCTCCAAGTGTTGACTTCAATGTTCACTTTTATATTTACACACGTCTATCTCTGATATTGAGCACTTTATCCCATAAATATAGCACACCGTAAGACTATATTTCTTCATATATATATATATATTAGAAAATACCGTTTTGTAGCTGTTTTTGAGACAAATTTACTGCGATCTTTGTATCTGTTGTAATTTCCACGGAAATAAATAGTAGGCATTACTTTCTGAAGTTTGTATTCAATGATATTCTGATCAGGTTGAGTCAAATGTTTTTTTCGGATTTTCCCTGATGATTTTTGGCAACTTGAATCTCTATGTTATATTACTAATTTGATGAAACTTGTTATCCAATCCTTACTGAATTGTTTATTTTTTATTTCCGTATATAAAATATAAACATTAATTCTTATTCCTTATTTTACAGCTTTGAAAATGAATGTTGAAAAAATTGCAATTTGAGCCATTTTATGTTTGCCTTGGAAAAGAAGGATTGGCTACAAGTACAGCGACAAAAAGAAATTATTAATGTAGAGGACTACGGAACTGTCAACGAATGTGAGGGATAAAACTTGTTCAGACGTTCCAAAGAAGGTGACACGTGCCTTGAAGACAAGCCAAAGCCAGGCATATTTGTGGAATATAAGACCTTGCTTGAACTTGTTGCACAACAGCCAAACAAAAGTACTCGTACATTCTCGGCGGAAATTGCTCGTTCACAAAGAACCACCATTCAACACCTCCGTAAGATCGGCTTTGTGAACAGCTTCTTCATGAACTGACCAATGGCCAGGCCCTATGACATTTTGGCGTCGAATGGTAACTGGGGATGAAAAATTGATCTATCTTCGTGATTAGTCGCTTCGTTCCGATCTTGTTTTCAGACAAGGGCAGTTTGAACGTCATGTGCGTTTGATGGAAGCTGTTGTACTTTGAGCTTGTCTCAGATGGTCATGCGGTGAACGCCGACCTTTATACTTAGCAACTGCAGCGAGGTTATGATATTTTGAAAGTTTGTTAACTGGCTTTGTTCAATCAAAAACGCGTACTTTTGAAGCATGACCAATGTGAAGAAGCACATTCTTAAGAAACTTCAGGAACTGGAAATTCTTCCTCAATCTGTCTACAGTCCAGACGTTGTAGCATCGGATTACCACCTTTTCTAAGCCATGGCCCATTTCCTGACGGAGGTTCTATAAAGTGGATTGAAATTGTGTGCAGGGAGGTTTATGCCTTTAATCCAACCATTTTGCATAAGCGTAAAACTGAGATCCGATCACAAAGATGGCAACAGACAATGATGGGAGATATTTTTTTTCGTATGTAATCTGTTTGAACTACGAGATTAATTAAAGCTGGAGGCACGAAAAATACTCAACCTAGTAAGTCAAATGGTGAAGATTTTACAAGTTTGTAATATGTGTTCAATAATCAGTATTAAGCCACGGACAATTTTTTTGTAATGTATTTTCTATATCCTGATAAGTAAAAATGTATGATAAAATAATATAGCTTAAGAGATGAATCTAGTAATTGTTTTTTCCGAAAACATATTTCACAAAATTTGGGAAAATTAAGGATAATCTATGCCAGTTTACTTGTTACATTGTACCATGTAACTCAGTACAAACGGCTGCATCGTAGAGTCATCGGCAACTAAACTGTTTCATTCACCAAGTTGTTTTGGCGAAGAAGGTGGTTAGAAACTTGCCAGGATTAAAAACATAGTCAATGGAAGAATGAATCTAACATCAATGGCAATCTGTCACAATGGTATATAGAGGCATCTACAGGTATGAATGGATCCAATGCGGTGATGACACGGCTTAGAACGATGGAGGGATTTCTAGAGTGAAGTCAACGGTCAGGGTGGAGGTTTTCCTTGATGACATCAACGGCCACGTGTCTCTTGACCAACGACAACTTGCAAGTTTGAGGACATCGATTGTGCTTAGACCTGGAGATGGATGGGCGTCGCCAGGTCAACTTGCCCTAGACATGTTACGCATGAATGACTACATCCCCAGTTTTCAAACCAGGTATGTGGATGGAAGTGGTGAGGTTCTCAGTTGCGCAGCGATCCTACAACCACAATTGATCATATGATTGATAATCATCATATAATAGTCATATTCTATCAGTAATACTTGAATTAAATCATAACCACTGAACACCTATTTCTTCATTATTGAAGTGCATTCTGATAGTAAATTGACTAACAATGTATTCACATTTTACATATAATTGGGCACTGGCATTGATTCTTGATCATTACCAATACATTTCCTTGATTAATACTTACATGAATTCCTGACCACCGACAATCATTTTTGTTGTGATGATATAACCAAACTTCCCCATTCACGATAATGGACGGACTGGTTGCCGATTAAGTACGACCACAGCGGACAGCGAAAAAGGTCTTCGTTTGTTAACCCCTATTGAGGTTAGCATACTCCTGACTCTGTCTCTGTATTTTGACATACCTACATCCGATTATAAAATTAATATTGAAAACCAACACTCGGGTTTACTTTGTTTATTATATCTTGCACGAGATATAACAATTTTCCTCCTGATTTTCAACGCATTTCTGTAGTAAATGCATTAACAATTTACATTAGGCCTATAATAGCCTAATTCTGTCAGTAATATAAATAAATGAAAAGTGTATTTACCTCATTAAGAATGTACTTACATTACACACACACAAACACGCATATATGTGGCTTACGGTCACATCCCGTCGAAACACCGCTTCCCGTAAAATCACCGAAGTTAAGCAACATCGATCCTGGTCTTTACCTAGATGGGTGACCGTTTGGTAATACTGGGTGCTGTAATCTTGGATGTGCGTGTAGTATAATGGCCCGGAATTATCAATTGGATAGCCGGGTTATAATCCCAGTTGGGTTCGTTATAGTTACCTTCGCGCGAAAACTCTTTGGAAAGGTCTGAATCCACCTTTTCTCTCCCAGCTATGGGTTAATTAGTAAGACAAATATTTTCAATCTAATGATATTTTATGGCTTTAAATAACCTGCAAAAGTTTTGATAAGCTGTAGAAACGAATCCATCCATCACACACACACACACGCATATATATATATATATATATATATATACATACAAGGTGCGATGTGTAAATTGTTGCCATTTTATATTTTTAATTTCGTGCAAGAGCGTTGTTTGTTTTTGATTTTGTCGACTGCACAGTATAGTGTAGGGTCAGTTGGGCACCATCTCTGACAAAAAGATCACCATGACGCAATTCACTTTGACAGAAATTTGGATACAGCATGCTGTATTACTCGCAATAAGAACATTTCAGGCTGTTTGGGTGTTAATCTGAGGACAGTGCAGAGGATTCACAAAGAGTTGCATTATATATCCAGTGAATATCATGGTGTTTGGGATCACTAGTGATGGCGACGTTATACCTCATCTTCTCACAGGGCCTCAGACTCAACACAGAGGCCTACATCAAGTGCCTTTAGAGGGTAGTACTGCTCTAGGTCAAGGGGGTGGTGGCAGCTGGAAGACCCTATGTCTCGAAACAGGACTCTTCACCATTCCACAAAAGCATGAGAACCTAGCCATAGCTGTCTGAGAATTTCTGCAACCACATTCCCCCACTTACATCTTGGCCACCTAACTCCCCAGACTACAATCCCCTTTTTTATTATGTTCGGGGCACATTTGAACGGGAGACCAACAAAACTCCTTGTAACACCAAAGATGAACTGAAGGCAAGGATTATGGCAGCATGCACCAACTCCAGTCTAGAAGAGTTACAGGAGATTCCGAAGTCGTCTTGAGACCGTGGTTGAAGCAAATAGCGATTTTATTGAATAAATTTAGTCTTTAGTATTTCAAAATATTTTTTCTGTAATGTTGGTAAATATATTTGTTGAAATGAGATGTCAGTGTTATTTTCATTTTTGCTAATTTAGATGATAATTTATTCATCACACCCTGTATGCATGCATACAGACATACATTAAAGAAGCGCCTGGTTAGCAAAGTCAGAATTTATGTTTATAAACATACACCTTCGACGAATTTTCTCGATCAATCATATCTGCTCACGAAATATATCTTAACGTAACAATGGCGACATATTATGAAATGTGGCTGAATGGTTAACAGTACATCAGATCAAGTGATGATTCCCATTAAGGGTTACAGGTTCGATTTCTGTCGAAGAAGCACATATTTTTTACGAAATTTCTGGAACATTCAAGCCGGTAAATGTAATTAATATTGTTTAATTAAAAAACAGAACATTTTATTCTGAGTACGATTTTGTCTTAGAAAAATGTTGAAAAATTTTTTTGTCTTAGAAAAAACAAGACCCTAATGACGACATTGTGCATCAATATAGTAATTTTCTTTCTTCCTTTAATAAGGATACTAAGAAAGTTGTCCTTAATTACGAGAGGATCCTATTAAAAATAAGTAGACAAAGCTTGTCTAAATTATTTAATGAGACATGTAATCGTTGGTTGAAATAGGCCTTTTTCCCATATGAAGTAAATTTCATTGCGCGTATATATATATATATATATATATATATATATATATATATATATATATATATATGTAAAACGATTTTTTTTGTCAGTGACATGAATTCGTTGTCACTGATAATTCTTTTCATTAACTTTCAATGTCTATTATGGACATTGAAAGTATAAACTTTCCAGATAAAAATAAAGAAAATTCAGGTGCATGCAAAATATTTTATTTCCTGTTAAAATATTTTTTCGTGGATCAATAAAATAACCCCCACCAAAACCAAAAAAAAAGCAAAAAAAAAAAAAAAAATAATTAAATAAAATAACCAAAAACAAAAATAGAAGTAACGCTTAACCCTCACCCGAAATTTTCCAACATAACGGGTTCAAATGCAGTTGGTACTAAAATCCTAGAATGCTACTCAACGTGTTAACAGATGAAGAAAAGACTTGAGGTCACTGACGAATGGTGTGAATATCATGGACAGAACATGTGAGCAACGAGAAAGTTTCAAGAAAATAATAGCCACAAAAAAAAAAACACAAAATAACTTACAATCAGAAAGAAAAATCTGAAATTTCTGAAACTCGTAATGAGGAAAGAGGGTCTAGTGAATTGAACACTTACAGGGCAGATTGCACTCAAGAGAATTGAAAGAGATAGTGATTAACCTACTTTACAGTGAATGGGTAGTAGAAATGGGGCAAAAAGATATGGTAATGGGTAAAAATGACTTAGACAAATAAAAGACAGGAAACTGTGGAGAGCCATGATCGTTCATGGCCTGAAACGATGTGGCACATAAAAGACAAAGAAGACTGAAATCATTAGGATGATTGAAGCAGTTGATGTATCTATATTTTTAAAAATCAGTGTCTGTTGGTTTTTAAAACACAAAACATTTTACGCTGTGTATTTCGTTTTCCTATTCAGATGTGATGAAAGGCCACTAAAATTTACCTGAAATATAGATAGCTGAAAATGGCACAATCTGATATTACAATGGTAAAAATGTGTTCCTGATATTAAAAGACATCTGATAATATCGTCGTTTCTTTAATAAAGCCTACCTATGATATCACAGATGACATAAATAATTGGCATTTAAATAATATATAGAAATATACGGGGATTTTTTGGAACACCGTTTTCTTCTAAGATGGGAAGGAATCATTTCTATGTTAGGATAAAAAATACCAGAGAGATTTGAGGAGGGGCAGAATAGTATCGACTGCCATTTATAATTTGGATATTTTGAATACAACTTGAAAAAATGGAAAAGTCGATTTGAAAAAAATATTATCTATAACAAGAAAAAAAAAACGAGAAAGAGGACAGAAAGGAAGTTACGAGTTAAGTTAGATAGCGGGATAAAAATATAACCTAACGACAATTCCCCGCGGTGACATAAGTCTATTCTTGATTGGAAGAGAAAGGGAAACTTATATACATACAACAAATTATATGAGTGTATATTGTTTTTTTTTTTACCTAAATTGTTATGTCTATCTATGTATTTTCATAACTGAAATGCAAACTAAAATATACTGATATAAATGATAAAGAAAAAAGCTTCGACGAAACAGGCAATTTACTTAAATAGTATTAATCCTTCTGCTGTTCATGTCTCGGGTTAACTCGTCTTGTTTTTATTTAGTACGCCTCAGTTATTGTTCACCTTGTGTTTCCACTGAATGTAAGTCTTTAATAATCGGCTCAGTGATTGATTCCCACCGGCACTATTCTTCCAAACGGCACTATGTTCAGGACAATAGCCACTTGATTAAATCGTTGGCTTGTGAATTTGGTAGCATAGTAATTATGAGTTCAGTCCCTGGACTAGGTAGTACAAACTTAAACTCAGGGGAAACAGAGAGGGCTATAACCTAGTTGTAGAAAAGAAGACGATGAGAACAAATGAATAATTCGGATCGACAAGTAACTGGTGATAACTGGAGAGCACAAGGACTTAAACTTTATGATAATAACATCAAAGATGAAAACTAGTCCGTGTGTAAATAGGAGAAATATACCAAGTAACAGTTTAAGTTGTCTCGTTTGTGGTTAGTTTAATCGGGTCTATTTCCGTGACATTTTGTTTCCATGAGAAATCGGAGAGCCGATTTCGAATTTCAATCGACTTCGTTACATCTACTTATATGAAGATATTCTTGGGAAAGGTATCAGTCCATTTCTTCTCCGCCTAGCTAGGAGCTAAATTGTGGGATTTATATCTGCAAAAAGCGCTGTTTTATCTCCATAGAATTGTTAATGTAATATTCACTCGTAAAGAAAAAAAATTCCTACATTCTAAAATACATTTCGGCTTTTAAGAAACCGAAAACCATTGATGACCAGTAAAAAAAAACAAAACAAATTAGTCATGAGTTTTTTTACGGGGCAGGATGACCTGGGGATGATGATAATAATAATAATAATAATATTAATAATAATAAATGACAATTTACTTAATCCAAGCGCATCATCAAGTGAAGTTCAATTCTTTGTATATTCATTTAACTTTATTTAGAGAGTGTGGGTGACCTAACTAATAATAGCAATAGACTGGAATTGCTCGGCACATTTTGCGTTCACTGTAAACTAATGTCCCCAATAAAGGCATGCGTCCACTTATTTTTAAATGCCAAATTCTTTTAAGACGCATGCAATCATGTCTCCGTACAAATTCCTTTTTTTAAATTTGTAAATTGCCAAGTTTTTGTGTGCATAGATAGTGGAGACGTTGTTTTCCACCTGGTTTGGAATTTAGAATTTTCTTGGTTGTCACAAGAGTTTAGAGAGACTAGATTAAGTTGCTATTTTCCCTTCAAATCGGGCTTCAGGGTTATTTGTGCATGCAATGAATTAGGCCGGAATTTGAATTCATTTCGACGGTTTCACTTCCCACACCGATAACCGTTACACTTCCTACACATCACATCTCCTCTTAACTACAGATAAAAAAATGCATTTGGAAGTCCTTTAATTTTTTTTGATGTATTCGGTATCGAGCAAGCCACCACAGTCCCTCAAAAATGTACTTGCTGTTGAAAGCGCATCAATGTTACTCAGTGTGGTTGCGTCCCTCCTCATCTTCCACAAAATAAATAAGACCTTAGCCTGCCAATAATAACAAATCGTAGTAAATGGATGCTTGGAAGACTGCAGTGCTAACGTGGAAAGAGCCAGTCTGTCTGCCTTATAGAAAAGCAACATTGAAAATATCAGATGAATTCTCTCGATTTTTAAATAGTCCTGTGTATAACGACAAATTACAACCGATAGCAAGGCCTCTGACCAGGAGATTGGAGGTTTTGAGGAGGGTG